TGGGAGATGAAGCCCTCGCGTCCTCGTGACACTTAATGCATCAAATGAGCAACAATTAAAAAACACTTTTTTTTTTTGCTCCAGAGTTCAGCAGAAGTATCGCCCGCTTCGCCTCACTCCATTTCTTTCTCATCTTGTGTGTCTCAGTAATAACGCCTCCTCTCAAACTCATCAGGGGACGTGCTCAGCTCGTCAACACACACACACACATACACAAGAACAACGTATCCATCCACGCATCGCTCATTATCGACACATCAAACGGCCTGCAATTAACGTCGCCGGGGGCACAAAGTAGTCCATGATTCCCGCCGCAGTCGGCACCCGGCAGGCTAACCTCGCCGCTTAATGAACTGCCGCCGTGACATTCATTAAGGAAGGATTATGTCGTGCTCATTGCCACTCACAATATGCAAGGAATTTGTCATTTAAACGAGTCCATTAACGGGATGAACGTGTGATAGGTGGAGGTGTGAAGAAAGGGGGGGGGGGCTCTCACTTCTTGCAAGTCACAAGTTTCTGTGTGTTGCTTTTCCTTCTTCTCCTTTTTACATCAGACCTGCCTCTCTCCTTTTGTTACCCCCCCCATCCTCCATCCTCTTCACTCACTCAGTCTTCTTTTTCTTCATTCTCTCTTCATCTTTTTTCCATTTGGCTTTCTTTTCTTTGCTCTCCTCCTCCTCCTCTTCCTGCCCACTTCCTGTCACCGTGCAGTCAGACAGCCAGGAATAGGCCACTCTAAGCTCCAATCACACAGGAGGTTTTGTGGCTCCGCTGCCTGTAAATTGGTGTGGAGTAGAGTAAGGTTGAATCTAGGGGTTGATGGACGGAAATGATTATGGGAGAAACTTTGCTTGGCCTTTCCTCCTCCTCTTCCATCTCGCACTTTTCCTCCTCTCTCTCTCTCTCGCTCTCTCTAATCTTCACCTCGCTCTACCTCGTCTTCCCCCGGCTGCTTTTCCCAGTTTATTCTTCAACAGTTTCATTTGTTTTCTTTCTGTCTCTTGTTCACTTTCCCACCCTCTGCTCCATCTCTGCCTTTATAATCATTCCCCTGTCTCTTGGCTGAATTCGTTAAGTACTGAAGGGCGTACAGCTCATCATCGGATCCCACACACACACACACACACACACACACTAATATACAACGCTACTGCATTAATTTCACATCTCAGTCACACACACACACACATATTTATTGCCAGTTTTGTGCGAGCCAATGGAGACACACAACATCACGCACACACACCACACTAACACGTGCACACGTGCACGAAATGCAGAAATAAGCACCAGCCACAGGAATCCTGTTCATATCGATCGATTCTGCAGCACATCATTGACATCCGACGCCAGCGTTTAGTGCTGCTGCAGGAGGCGGCGCTCCTGTTTACGCAGTGAAGCAAAGACAAAGGATGTGCAGGTCGGCCGGAGGGAAGCATGTCCTCTCTCAGACTAACGAAGGCTTTGCTTTGTTTTTACACGTATCGAATGTTTAGGCCTCATCGTGTGCAGTACGTCAGGGAATTTATCCGCATTTATTTTGATGACGTTACCGACTGAAAGCGTTCTCTGACGTGTCTAAAGGTGTTTAGTGTAAAGTGAGAGATCAGTTTCCTCTGGTGGAACAGAAACATGATTTTGGGTTTGTGGTGGAATAAGATCTGATTTTATTGAAGGAGCTATTTCTAAGTTTTGCTAACACTACATAGCTAACGTTAGCATTAACAGCTGTTCGCTGGGGCTGAACGATACGTAATAGCGTCAAACTTCTTTCCTTTACTCACCAACATCTGTCTCCAGAGGTGGAAACAAACACCAGTGTTAACTCTTGTCTCTTTCACGTCTTTTTTCTTCTTCTAAAGCTAGCATGCTAACCAGCTAGCCGCCGGCGTGTCTTGTCACTTTGCGATAGCGACTCACTGTTGTTATTACCTCATCTTGCAGCAGCAGACAAAACTTAGAAATTGGTGAAAATGAGTTGAACTGAAAATAACAAGCTTTCTGTGTGTGTGTTTGAAGTTAAATGTTAAAGTACAGGTGAGAACTTTCTCCTCATGAGTCGTGTAGGAGCAACAATGTTCATTATGTTTAACCAGCTGTGTTTCCATGGCAGATGTCACTTTGAGAAATGTTCTGCAACTTCATCAGAGTACACTTTCATTTCCCTCCTCTCTATTACAGACGCCGCGCTGTACTGACTCAACCTTTAAGTGGTTCATGAAAGCTTTTAGACTTGTTCAGAGAAAGTTGATTAGTCACTGCGGGAAAGATGTGAGCGATGCTCTGTGGGGAAGTCGCATTTTGTACTTTTTACCCATTTGCATTTTTGGAGTGACGCAGCAGGACGGAGCCGTTCTACAGAGACACATGTGAACGGGCGTACGAGGTGGCGTCGTGATAGGTTACCGAGAAACGCTCCCACTCACTGGCCAGTGAGCGCCAAGCAGCCAGATACAACAGCCACGTGTTCACACACACACACACACACACACACACACACACACACAGGCCAAAACACTGAATGTCCAGCACATGCAGTACTCAAACAGCCTCGGAGGAGATCAAGTGTTGGCTCACAGAAACAAGTCCACACATACACATGCCTGCATTATAGCCTGTGATTACACACACACACACACACACACACACACACACACACACTGAGCCCACTGCGAGCCAATCGTGACTCGATGTTCGATACTTTAAGTTGAAGAAGGTGGATTCTGGAGGACGTGTGAGGTGTTTTATTTATTTATATATGACTCAGCTGGAGATAAATCTGCTGTAGAAACGATGTGTTACTGATACACATATTAGTGATTATATCTGCCGACCTTGATTTGAAGGCAGTTGACGTCTTCTCAGCTGGTGGTCCTCGTAGACAGGAGATGTGTTTGTTTAAGTTGCACTTTATCGTGTGACTTTATTTCATTTTGTCAAAAGCGGCAGTGTTTCCCGTACGCGAGTCGTATTCACAGTAAAACGAACCTGGCTAATTATCACTTCCAGTATGTTCAGGTTCAGAGAACAGTTTCCACTTCTGGAGATAAGACAGTAAAAATCTGCTTCATGGTGCCTCTCCTGCAAGCTTTGGTGAATCCGCCGGCCCCGTGTCAGATTGTAATGGCTCGCTGTCATTTCTGCCATCTGGCGTCTCCGTGGACCTGAAACCGAAGGTAAAAACTCAGAATAGCCTCGTGCTAAAATGGCCAGCAGATGGGATGTTGTGACATGTGAAGAGTAAATGGAAGGAAACAAATCACAGGGCTTACAACAACACTCGGGGGACGTCTCATCAGCAGTCACACTGCTACAACTACATTTACCATTATCTACAGCCACTGTAGAAGCTCCGCATGTTACTGAAGAGCTGAATGTCAACCTCTCCCCTCTGAATCACATCATCTGTCCCGTCTCTGCTTTAATTGCTCTGGAGAAACATTTCGAACTCTGAGCTCGTCCGACAAACAGTTATGGGGCCGCAGTTTCTCCCAGTTGGTCACAGAGAAGTGAGAGTCATGTTGCAAATGGAGCTGCGTCGTATGGTAATGTGAATCGGCTCTGTCGGCGCCGTGAGGACGGTTTTTACTGAAGGACCAAGACTGAAGCTCTAAACCTGATGACAAAATATTTAGAAAATGTTTGGTTTTTTTTCTATTTTTTCTTTTTAAAGCTCCATATTTTCTTCTTCTGTGTTTTATTTGAAGTGTTGATCCATAAGAAGATATAAAAACCATCTCAGTGTAGTTTTACATCTCCTCTCTCAGGCTCTGAGCCTCTCTGCTGATTGGCTGACTGGTTTCTGACTGATCCAATAAAAATAAAGCAGATTTCAGATTAAAAACACTCAGAGAAACCAAATCCTGCAAGGTTTGGATGGTGGGTCCAGGTGGGCGGGGCTTGGTGACTGCTTTGTTGTGACATCACAAAGTTCCAGAAGTCCTGACGGCTGGTTTTAAGGCTCAGTTTCTGAATACAGGCTGTGTGCATTTCTCTGTGGACTGAGGCTTTGATACTTTCACAGTATTAATATAGAAGCTAGAGCTGATCTATAATCACACTACACATGGACACAGACCTTTACACTGGAGGAGCTATAAAATATATGAACGTGATTTGACTGTATGAGACACAGATTCAGGGCAGGGCATTTGAACGACTGAATTGCAAAACTAAAATGTTTTTTTGATGCTTTTTCTTATGTCAGCCTGGTTTTCAAGGCAAGACATCAACAGTCTGTTCATGTTAATTATTGACGTAGTAACTTTAACATATTCAGCACAGAAATGCTGAAGGGACTAGAATGAAGAAAGTCCTGAACTTAAAGAAAAAACAGCCAGTTTCATTTTACAGATCTGGAGTCAGTCTCATATAAATCTATAATTAAAAGTTTAAATGAGTCACAACACTGATCATCCATCTGATCAGTGATATTCCCAAAAATGACATACACAGTCTTTAGATTTATGTCTGGGGGCCGGCGACAGGCAGGACGGAGGCATTGTGGGTCGTCCGTCTCATTCTCCTGAACACGATATCTCAGTAACGCCTCGAGGGAACGTCTTCACATTTGACACAAACATTCATTTCAGCTGAAGGATGAACTGATTAGAATTTGGTGGACAAAGGTCAAAGTTCAGGGTCACAGTGACCTCACAAAACTCAAGAAGGAGAGACTGTGACCATTCTTGTAAGTTGGCTGGTTGGCGGAGGGATACGCCTACGAGGCGGTGATTCTAGTTCCTTATAAAATGGTTAAATACAAATGGATTTTGGATTCTGCAATGCATAAAACTCAATGATCATCCTCGTGTTTGAGTCACTGCATGTTTTAAACAACATTACTCACCATGACTCACAGTAGTTTCTAGTCCTGTGATGTTTGTTTGTTTGTGTATCTGTGATTTGGATGTGGATTTACACATGTATTTGTGTCTCCATGTGTAAATATATCTGTGTGTGTGTGTGTGTGTGCGTGTGCGTTAATGCCACCACAGGAAGTTGGCGAAGAAGCAGAAGGAGACGGCCAGCAGCTCCACTCAGCAGAGGGAGATGGGTCCGGTCACCACGGCTGATAAGAGCACCACTAAAGTCAGCACCCTGCACAAAGACGACCCCTTCTCCACCTCCAACCAGGACCTCAACGGATTCAGTAAGTCCCAAATCCTCCGAGGTCCGAGCATCAGTGTGCGTGTCCTAAATCTACCAACTGCAGCTGCCGCCGTCGCTAGAAGGTCCTACTGCAAGATTTACCGTCCCAGTCTAATAACACACTGCGAGTGTTGACTTCTTTTCCACGTAGTAAACTTTCTTTTCCCGTTCTCTGTGCTGTGAAATCTGCATCTACTATGTCTCCGTGCCATTAATCATTTTGTCAGATTAATTTATTCAAATATTGGACATTTCATTTTATAATAAAAACTCTCCAAACGTTCCTGTTTCGCCTTCATCAGCAGAGTGTTGTGCTGCTTCACCAGCCTCCATCTTCCTCCATGCTGCTCTAATCATTTTCAACTCCTGCTCCTGAAATTCTTTTCCCGCCTCGCACGCTTCCTGTGTTTCACATATACATCCTGCATGCATCTTCAATCTTATGGTGGTCACCCTGCCGTGCGTGTGCACACTCCCCATCTCTTTGTGCGGTTGTGTGTGTGTGTGTGTGTGTGTGTGTGTGTGTCCGGGGTAATTAGACGGGGCGTCTCAGAAGGGCATTTTTCTCTTGAAAATGTCAGCCTGGCCTTTTGGGAGTGCTTGGCCGTTGAAAGCCAGGGGTGCCAGATAGGGACTAAGTAGCGGGCTAATGCCGGCCGTAATTGCCTGCACTCTTCCCCTAACTGTCCACGCTGCAATGCTGACGCGCAGTAATGTTTTTGCATTGGATACACTTAATGCAGAGCACTTTTATCTCGACCCCGGATGTTCGCTAAAGCTGTGATATTTAAAACTTTGACATTTTCTTTGCTTTCAGATAGACTCGGCCATTTATCTGGGGAATTCGCTACGTATAGAAAATGAGCTTACTCCTTTCTTGACCTTGGATGTTAGATAACCCTTTACTATTTGAAACGTTGAACGGTTCCTAATTACACACTGGCTGAGCTCTTGGATAAAGGGGTTCTGGTGATTGGATGAGGTCACTGTCTTCTGGGCACAGTTTTTATTTTTTTACTTCCAGGCAAAGTCTTGTTAACTTTGCCTGGGGCCAAATATAAAGATCTGGCATTCTTCTTCACCAGGATCTTTGACATCTACCTTTGGATAGATGTAGACATACTTTCCAAGGCTCCATACATGCCAAATAATCCAGAGTTTATATGTCCTAATGCCATCGCAGAAGCACACGGAGAGGCGAACCAGGCGAATGTTTGGGGCCCCCAAGATGAAAAGGGGGCCCCTGATGGCCCCTCATATTGGCACATTTTCCAATGACAACTGTAAACCCCCTTAAGCTTTCCATAAAGACACTATACAGTCACTGCTGCTGCTCAACCCCCCCAAGTGGGGCCCCTGATGATGTGTGCTGTGGCTACTGACTATCCACTGCCTGCATGTGAGGCGTTTAGGGGACATTTGTAAATTATAGCATCTACTGAATCTGCATGTGAGGCGTTTAGGGGACATTTGTAAATTGTAGCATTTATATTCTGCATGTGTTTGTGTCTCTTTTTCACACTTGGAGTCTTATCACATGAACATTTGAAAAAGGAAAACGACAACACACACACACACACACACACACACACACCTATATACACACAGTCACCGATCCAGGCTCAGTCCTAATGAGACAGAGAAAAACGCTGACACAAGGTGGGGGACCCAATAATATTTGTGCGGACGGCCCCCTCGCAGGGCAAATAACCTTTTTGTGTTATTGCATTCTCACCCAGTCACCAGCTGTCTTCACAGGACATTGCTGTCAAAGCAGATTTCTTTCCGTATGCAGCTACACTCCTCACTGTATTAAAGTTGAGCTTCCTTTTGCGGCGCATTAGCATACAGTGCCGGTGCGCATGAGACGAGAGGGATTTTATCACAGAGGAGGAGAAAACATTGTTGTGTTTGGGGGTATTAGGAGAGGGGAGCGATGAGAGGAGGAGGGGGGAGGAGGAGGAAGAGGAAGGAGAGGACAGCGGAGTGAGGTGAAGATAAAATTTAAATGATCTGCTGTAGGGAAGTTGGGCTATTGTTCCTGAAAACAGTCGAGCAAACTGAATATGAATGAGAATCAGACGAGAGGGGAGCCACATGGATGATTTTCACATCAGGGATTATCATTTTTAAGACATTAGTAAAATTACAAACACCACATGTCTGTATCAGCCTTTAGACTTTTAATTCTAAACTTCATTCGACAGGAAACAATATAGTTTTATGGTAGAAATATTTTATAGAGCTGCAGAGTCTTGGCTTCTCCAGATGTAAACCTGAGCGGGTTCTGCTCCAGGTCAGCAGCTGGAAGTGACGCACCTGAAGACGTCTTTTAAACATGCTACTGTCAAACCTTCCTCCTGTCACTTTAATGTGAAGGAGAGCTGCCATTGTGACAAGGGAAGATGCTCACTGGTTTTTAGTCCTGGTGCATTACCTGGTTGTGACATCAGATGGAAATGTGGTTGGAAATATATCTACAAATCAAGTCAGCTCTGAGAACATTGTGAGTGTTTTAGGGGAAAGACACAGAGAAAAGTGCTGTAAGACGAACAGGAGGAAGGTAGAGCTGAGGAGGTGAGACGAGGAGAGAGAGGGGAGGGGAGGAGGGGAGGAAACAAAGGAATAGAAAAGAAAGGGCAGGAGGGGGGGGGGTATCATGTCATCTGCCCAGTGAGTATGAAGGGAGGAGGAGGAGGAGGAGAGACCTCTTTAGCAGGAGAGTCTCCACTAATGGCCACCAGTTCTGACACACACACAACTGCTGCACACTCACACACACACACACACACACACACCAACATGCACAAGTACTAATTGGCTGCTGAAGCCTATAGATAAATGATACATACACACACACACACACACACACACACACACACACACACACACACACACACACACACACAGCAGGTGCCACAGATGAATGTGTGTCGGCTCGCTGTGATATCTGCTGTGGAGTATTGAACAGGCTCGGCCAGTATGTAATATGTCACAGTCAGTCTCACAGCAATCTCCCTAGGTTTTATCTTATTGTGTGTGTGTGTGTGTGTGTGTGTGTGTGTGTGTGTGTGTGTGTGTGTGTGTATCTGCAGAGATGTAGTAGCCATCACTCAGTTTAAGAAAGCAGGTGACACATCTGCTCAGCTCTGCTCTAACTCTTCTGTATGTTGGAGCAGAGCTCTCCTCTCTCCTCTCTCCTCTCTCCTCTCTCCTCTCTCCATCTCTGTCAGAACACCGACTAAAACTACCGGGTCTGTGGATCTCTGGATCTCTGGATCTCTGGAGCTCTGAAGCTCTGGAGCGACTCGGTTTCTCACAGATAGACTCTTTGTTTTCTTGTTTTGGTGTTTAAGCAGAAACACTCACACAGCTGCTCTGCCCCCCCCCACACACACACACACACACACACACACACACACACACACTTTGTTTTCACTGTCATTCAGGCGTGTGTATTGACCATCGATGAGCATGTGTCAGATTTTAGTGCAGCTCATTGAGACGGAGTCAAAATTCAACATTGGAAGCATTGATGGAGCCATTAGTGTTATTGGATTGTTCTTGGTGCCGTTGAATATGGAGTATTGATCTGCCTGTCTATGTTTTCATTGTTAATTGTGTCCTGTGATGATTGATTGTTGTTTATTTAGATAAAGTCACTGACCTGTCCTTCTCTTCTCTTGTCCCCCCCCATTCTCATCTTTCCTCTCCTCTCTTCATTCACCTCCTCTCCCTCGTTACCTTCCTTTTCACCCCCCCCCCTCCCCCCCAAAAAAAAAACACCACCACCTTGTCTCTTCCCATATTTTCACATCCTCTTTTCTTCTCCCTCTCGTCTCCTCGTTGTCTTCCTGCCGTCTCCTCCCCCAGCCTCCCCCTCCACCTGCTCCTTCTCTGTGCAGGGGAGCAAGACGCTGCAGAGCAAATCCCTGCTGAATTCCTACTACTCAGGTACACACTTCAGCATTCACACACACACACACACACACACACACACACACACACACACACACACACATAATCTTTGCAGATGCTTTAGACGGTTCTGTTGCTCTCGAAGCTGTGAGTTGAGTTTTCTGCAGCTGTAATTGCAGCTGGACAAAGTGTGAGTAGAAACTGAGAAGCTGTTGTGTTTTGAAGCTCAGGTGATTTTTGGGTCGGGGGTTATTTGTCAGGTCGTGTTCAAACCTTTTTCAAACAGCTTTCACTAGCGCTCAGACGACAGCGGCCGATCAGCTGTTCTGCAGGGTCTCACTTGCAGAAACGTTAACGCTCCTTCGTTTTTCAGCACAGCAGCAGAACGACGGAACGACGTCCTGCTCATGTTTCTCAACACAAAGGATTTAAGGTCAATATTACAGGAGTTCCTGTAGACTCAAAGGTCAAGGTCGCTGTGACCTCACGAAACACCATTTAGGCCCTGACTCAAGAATTCCTGCACCAGTTATGACACGAATGTCCAACAGGAAAAAACGATGAAGGGACGTAATGTTACATGAAAAAGACTGTGGACACTGTGCAGGTCCTCTGTTGACGATGTGTGTTTTTAGCTTCTTTGCTGCAACAGTCGTGTTTGAAGCTTCGTCTAAAGTCACAGCTGCAGCTTTATGTTGGTCTGTCAGACTCAGCTTTATGGACCAAACATTCCCTGTGAAGGTCCAGGGATTCAGGGACGTAACAACGAACAAAATAAGAATTTAAATTTTCATTTTCAACAGCTGCAACGAAAAACTGACAGTGAAACTAAACCTGCAATAAACTCAGAGAAACTTAGATGAACAATAAACATAAAGTAGCAGGAGTATCACCAACACACACAAGCTCAACAACGTCCACTCAGTTTTATTTACATGTCTCTCTGCACCGTAAATCAAACAATACACCTCTCTTCAGTCTTCACGTCATCTCTCTCATGAGTTTGGACACACGTGGATGTAAACTGCGTCTTGACTGGAGGCGAACGACCACGAAGCGATGACTCCAGTTACACACACGTCCTGATGGAGTCCAGTGTTTTTACTGTGACCACGTCGTCTGACTGATGTGACTTCCTGTCTTTCTCCTGTGTGTGTGTGTGTGTGTGTGTGTGTGTGTGTGTGTGTGTGTGTGTCATGTCGACCGTGTGTGCAGTGTCCAAAGAGCCGGTTCCCGCCACGACTTCTATAGGTGAGTCCAACTCTTTCTCTCGGATCGAATGTTGTTTTGTTCTGTTTGTTTATTTTTCTCTCAGTTTTAAAGCTCTAACACCTGTGGTTAATAACTGTTACAGCTCTGATCTGTGTGTGTGTGTGTGTGTGTGTGTGTGTGTGTGTGTGTGTGTGTGTGTGTGTTAATGTATGAGCATGAGAGACAACTAAAACAAAATGTGAACATCCAGGCAGAGTTTCACACACATTCATACAATCTCAGCAACACTCACACACACACACACACACACACACACACACACTCACACACACACACACACACACACGTGGTTTACAAATGGACAGAATGAAATGTCAAAACCATTTTCCAGTTCCTTCTTTCTGTCTTTCTCTCGTCGTTCTCCTCCCTCCCGTCTGTTGGCCAGATTGTCCAGTTCTTTGCCAAGAAGATTGGCTCTGGCCTGTGCCAAAGTGTGACGTGTGGGGTGTGTGTGTGTGTGTGTGTGTGTGTGTGTGTGTGACACACACACACACACACACACACACACACACACACGTGGAGGTATAAGTCGTGACATTTGTCTGCCAGTCTTTCTTTACGACAGTGTCTCTGTTTTATGTGATAATTCTCATCATCCAGCTGCTGGCTCCTCGTCTTCCTGCCACACCTCCTCCCATCCATCCATCCTCTCCTCCTCCTCCTCCCCCTTTCTCTCTTTTCTCTACTGTATTCTTCCCCCCTCTCCCCTCTCATCACGTCCACCTTCACATCGTCCCCTCTCCTTTTCTCTTTGGATTAATTCTTCCTCCTTTCTTTCTTTTCACCAGTTATTTCCGTTTTATTTTATTCTCACTTTTATTGTCACAGATATCATCAGTGAAACTAGGCCCAGGTGGTTAGTCCCACTCTTCTTCTTCTTTATATTCTACACTGTCCTCTCCTCCTTTCTTCTTCTGCACATCTTTCTTTACTTCTACTTCACTGCATCCACTCCTCTGCTCTGACTTATCCTTTCTCAGTCCTCTTCTCTCCTCGTTCTCTCTCCTCTCTCCTCGTTTCCTCTCTTCTGTCCTTGTTTTCTTTCCTCTCCTCTCTCCTCGTTTCCTCTCCTCTCTGTCCTTGTTTCCTTTCCTCTCCTCTCTCCTCGTTTCCTCTCTTATCTCCTCTCTTGTCTCCTCATTTCCTCTCCTCGTTTTCTCTCCTTGTTTCCTCTCTTCTTTCCTCGTTTCCTCTCCTCTCCTCTCTCCTCGTTTCCTTTCTTCTCTCCTTGTTTCCTCTCCTCTCCTCTCTCTTCGTTTCCTCTCTTCTCTCCTTGTTTCCTCTCCTCGTTTCCTCTCCTCTCTGTCCTTGTTTTCTTTCCTCTCCTCTCTCCTCGTTTCCTCTCCTCTCTGTCCTTGTTTCCTTTCCTCTCCTCTCTCCTCGTTTCCTCTCTTATCTCCTCTCTTGTCTCCTCATTACCTCTCCTTGTTTTCTCTCCTCGTTTCCTTTCTTCTCTCCTTGTTTCCTCTCTTCTTTCCTCGTTTCCTCTCCTCTCCTCTCTCCTTGTTTCCTCTCTTCTCTCCTCGTTTCCCCTCCTCTCTTCTCTCCTCGTTTCCTCTCTTCTCTTCTCTCCTCATTTCCTCTCCTCCCTCCTTTCTTCTCTCCTCTCTCCTCATTGCCTCTCCTGCCTCCCTGTTTCATCTCCTCTTTCCTCATTTCCTCTCCTCTCTTCTCTCCTCTCTCCTCATTTCCTCTCCTCTCTTCTCTCTACTTTGCTTATTTCCTCTCTTCTCTCCTCGTTTCCTCTCCCCTCCTCTCCCCATTTCCTCTTCTCCCTCCTCTCTTCTCTCCTCTCTCCTCATTGCCTCTCCTGCCTCCCTGTTTCCTCTCCTCTTTCCTCATTTCCTCTCGTCTCTTCTCTCCTCTCTCCTCATTGCCTCTCCTGCCTCCCTGTTTCCTCTCCTCTTTCCTCATTTCCTCTCGTCTCTTCTCTCCTCTCTCCTCATTGCCTCTCCTGCCTCCCTGTTTCCTCTCCTCTTTCCTCATTTCCTCTCGTCTCTTCTCTCCTCTCTCCTCATTGCCTCTCCTGCCTCCCTGTTTCCTCTCCTCTTTCCTCATTTCCTCTCGTCTCTTCTCTCCTCTCTCCTCATTGCCTCTCCTGCCTCCCTGTTTCATCTCCTCTTTCCTCATTTCCTCTCCTCACTTCTCTCTACTCTGCTTATTTCCTCTCCTTTCTCCTCGTTTCCTCTCCTCTCTCCTCTCTCCTCTCTCCTCGTTTCCTCTCCTCCCTCCTCTCTCCTCTCCTCGTCTCCTCCAGGTAGGAGAAAGTGTATCTTTAGCTAAAACACGGTTGTTAACCAGCTGAATCACTGTTTTCCTGCCGGGCTCGTGTGTCAGCAGGAAACAGACAGACCGACACTCAGAGACAGACGGACAAATCACTGTGATCGTCTCCTTCTCATCGAGAGAAACAGACTGACAGAGGAGAAGTGGACAGAGTCATGGAAAGGGAAAGAGAGAGAGAAAGAAAGATATTTTCTAACAGTGTCTCACATATTTAAGCTCATTTGTTTGAATCTACAGAACTCGCCTCACAGATTTCGGAGCCGCTCGTTCGTGCACATCAAGGCGTGATGAAGCAGAATGCAAAAAATCGCTTCAGCAATTTGTGCAGTGGCACAATTTCGCTGTCATACATCTTTACAGAATGACATTAGCGTTTCGTCGAGCCATCTGTTCTCGCCACAGTTAGAGAGACCGAGAGACGTAAAACAAAACTAATGCAGAACAGAAGCCGAGGACTCAACAACAAATACAGGAAATACAACGGAGCGAACGTGACACGACGAAACTTACAGAGACGAGTTTAATAATACTTTGTCCATTCACTCCCTCTGTCTAACTTCTCCTCATTTCTCTCTTTCCATTCATCCTCCACATCTCCATATTTTACTCCACCATCTTCCCTCCTTTTCCCCCCAGCTCTTAACGTCCATCCATTTCTTCTTCTCTGGTTTAAGTGATTCCATTATCCCTCCTTCCCTCTCACCTCTCACCCATCCGTCCAGCTGTAAACGCAGAACATTACTCCCTCTCTCTCTAAACCCCCATCTCTCCATTCCCCTAGGACTACACTTCCCTGTTTCCCCCGTTTAATACCTCCCTCCTCTTCCACCTTTTCATCATCTCATCTCTTCTCACCTCCATCCATCCATCCATCCGTCGACTGATCCGTCCACAGAGCAGCTCCCCCTTCACGCTGAGCATCACAATTATTTTACTGATGGACATCGTGAATTAGTGGAGCAAGTTACCACCGTCATCATCATCATCATCATCATCATCATCATCATCATCATCACAACCAGTCCTCCAGCCTGAACAACACACGCAGGTCGTTTGTTCCAACCCTCTGATACGATCCACAGCTACGTAAACAATAATAAAACACGTGGGCGATACCGAGAGCAGCGTACCTACCTTCGTTGCCATGGTTACGATAATTAACTGTCGCAGAAACGATCGTGATTGGGGTTAAAATAAGTGACTTCCTCGACGTTAGACGATCTTTGTTTCCGCACTTTTCCCTTTGCTATGTGTCGCCTATAGCAACAGAACCTAACTGTGATGTCATGACAACCTGCTGCACTGACGACCCAACAGTGATGATGGAGGGAGAAAAAGAAAGACGTTAAACTGGCGTCATACTGTTTGTTTACTGTCGGTGTGGGTTTGTTTGTTGCTGTTTAATCCAAGTTCTGACGGAGATGTTTTCCTCCGCGCAAAAATCTAAAAACGACACGAGGACGACGACGGAGCTGAATTTCACTGGATCGTTCCGACTGTCGTTGTCGGGTCGCTCCGTTTTATTCATTTTTCTTCTGAGCAAAATTTAATTGATTGAAATGCTTGAATTATTCTCAGTCTGTCACTACAATGCTGCAGCTAGCTGTCTAATTAAAAAGAGACACTTAGTTGATTTCCTTCATAAAAATGCTCATGAATTCAAAAGATAAACAAGAAACAGCCTCGAGACAGGAAAACAAAACGCAGCGAGTCCCACAGGCCGAGAAACACCGGACACCTGAGTGGACACTTTAACTCTTCCACTTCCATCGTGACCATCGGCTTGTTCATTTAATCTGATGGTGGCTGCAGGTCATCATTTCATTAATAGGTGGAAAACGTTTTATTCCAACATTTAGACGCGTTCCAAAACCTCCCAGGCTTTTGAAAACGGATAATGTTACCAGGAGCCTGAATGGAGCCGGTGAAGATCGTTTTTCAACGGCTCGAAGAGAAGAAGAAGAAGAAGAAGAAGAAGAAGAAGAGCTGAGAGAGAGAGAGGGGAAAGTTATCACGGCGACAGTGAAAGAGACATACAGATTGAGGGATCAAAGACAGGGAGAAGGAGCTTGGGTAAATCCAGTATGCAATGCAGAGGGGGTTTAGCTCTCTGTGTGTGTGTGTGTGTGTGTGTGTGTGTGTGTGTGTGTGTGTGTGTGTGTGTGTGTGTGTGTGTGTGTGTCCTTTCTTTTGGGCCAGCTGTATAGCTTTCAGCATAGCTCAGGTGTTTTCTTGGCAATGGATATGGAAATTTATACACATGCACACACACACACACACACGCACACACACACACTCACACACACTCAGTCACACACACACACATAGAGAGGCTCAGAAAATCTTGCATATACAAGCACACACACAAAGTACAGCACACACACGTATACAAATACAGTATATGCATAAAGAGATCATCAGAAAATTACAAATATGCACAAAGGTACGCACACACACACACACACACACACACACACACACACACACACACACACACACACACACACACATACACACACACATCCATATGCACACACACATCCATATGCACATAAGCCCAGCACAGTGTTAACACAGACGTGATGTTAATACAGCGGATCAGGAGGAAGCCGCCGCGGCAGAGGCGTGTGCGTCTCATGTGCAAACACGTTTTCCGTCTAAAAATCAATTTCCCGGACGCTGATGTGCGTTAA